TTCCCATTCAAATTAGGTTTTAGCTTTAAATAATCCACAAAGGACTGATAAAAATCAATCAACAATTGATTCACTTTCCAAAGTCTGATCAAATGATCAAACATCAAATATTTTTGAAAAGGCTTCTTGAACAGGGCAAGAACACCTTCCTTATTTAAGGCTTTCAACTGAAGAAAGCAAGGTTTGGGAACTTTTTATACATGCAATACATATCCAAAGTGGTTTAATTTGGACTGATGTAAAAAGATGAAATTTATAATAAATACTGTTATAAAGAAGGATCAAGGTAAATGCAGATATTACATTTGTTGTTTTTTTTAAAAGAATTTTTTTCCTTAGTAAGATTTATTTATAATTTGGTAGCTAAAATCTTGAAGAAAGATTTTAAATATTCAATTGTGCAGTTGCTGTTTATTTAAATATTTTTGAAAATTAAATTATGGTTCTGAAGACAATTTCCATTTCCAAAATATAGTAGATAAAATGAACTTCATGATTTTTAAATTTAAAAGAAATATACAAAAAAAAAAAAAAGGAAAATTTTGTAAAATATCTTATGAAAATTCAATGCAAAAATAATTTATCCTACTCTGTAAAATATCTATTACTACACTTTACTTGAATAAGTTTCTACTTTAGTTTATTGAAACTGTTCCAATGTTGTGAATCATAATGCAATGCCGGTACCTAAGGTCTTATAATGCATTTTTATTTTACGATTCAGAGCAGATTTTCTGTAACTGTGGTCCTGTTTGACCAAACCAGAACAGTGAGGATTTAAAACTAAGGACTTATAACAAATAATTTTTTTTTAAAGAAAAGAACTCAAAATTTCATAATAATTATTAAATGAGTATGTGTGTGGTGGGGGGGATAACCGATGTAGAAAAAATATTTTTACAAATATTTTCTGAAAAAGAAACGTGTTTAAAAAAAAAAAAAGAAAAAAAGAAAAAAAAAAAAAGGATTCCATTCCTTCTGAATAAATCCTGAAAGTTTCATTAAATTCAACAATTATCCGATTTTTTGCAAGAATTTCCAAATCAACGTGTTTTTTTTCACCGCAAAAAGACGCCCAATTTTCCCGTACGAATTTTTATGGTTTTGCGTTGACGCAAAAAAAAAAAAAAAAAAATCCAAAATTTTGTTTTTATTATGCTTGGGGCATTTTTTTCATGATGTTGCCTCTTTTTTTAGCAAATTTTTGAGAGGTACCTATCGCCAAACTGATCAGTCTACGTTACCTGATCCAATAACTAAAAAAATGTTATCACTTTTTTCGTTTTAAAATGAGGAAAATTTAATTAAATCAAACATTTCTTTTGCTCGTAAATTTATGGTGGAGGCTTCAAAGACGCAAAAGTTCAGGCAAAAGCTCGTTAAATTACAAGAAAAATAATTTTTTAATAATGACCAATTTCTCAAAAAATATTGAAGTGTTTAGTACAGAACACTAACTAGCTAATAATAATTTAAATAATTAAATAATCGTTCTTTGATGAAGAAACTATCAGTTTATTATTTATTCTTTTAGGAATTGCAGATGTAATAATGCCTTATGGCATTATTCTTAATTAAAACTTACAAGAATTCGAGAGAAAATTGCATGACATCTTTTAAAACCTCAAGAAGTACTTATAGTAAAACCAAGCTTACTACTATGAATGAACAAAACTGACGGTCATGAATTCCCACAGTTGAAGATCCCTTTGTGGCCAAGGTCAACTCAAAAAGTGGAATACACCTGGCGGCGGAATCAATAAAATTCCCCCCATGGACTAAAAAACTGAGTCTAATTATAGAAATTCATTAAGAAAAATAAATATAAAATCGAGTAGTTAAATACGAAATAATAATTTTTTTTTCTTGTTGGCGCAAGACACTTGTAAATACGGCAACCAGATTTTCTTCTCTAATGTATTTTAGAATTTTAGAAACTAAAACACAAAAGAAATAGATGGTCTCATTAAAAATGAAAATAGCAAAGACAGTAGATTAAAAAAAAAAAGTACCAGCTAAAAGTTTATTATTTCTGTAATAAGTGATTATCAAATTTTAAATAAAACTGCTATTTAGAAGCTATTTTTATATACACCAATCTTTCTCAACGAGATTCATAAACCAGTGTGCTCTAGTGTGAAGTAAGCAGACAATCTCTACTAGCAAAAAATGCAAGATGATTACAGGACACGTTTTACGTTTTTTTCTTTCCATAACAGAAATGCGAAAAACCTCCATGACTACCTCTCAGTAATTAAGTATATTTGTTTTTAAATTGTAAAAATACAACAAACCATAATAAATCTAAAGAAATTTCTAACCTTTATCAACATTTCCTTTTTTTTAAATATACGTGAATGAAGTGAAAAGAATGATAAAATTCAACAACCGAGGTTTAAACTTAATCAGCTAAAAACTGGGCGTAAATTTGACACTTACGTATTTATTTGGTCAATAAATATTTATTTAGTTACCAACTGAAGACACCGAATGGTTTGGGGCCCCCATGTGTTTGTGCATGCTTTTTAAAAAATATAATTTTAAACAAAACTGGACAACCAGAATTTTTTTTTTAAAGTTTCTAGTAAAAAAAAAAAAAAAAAAAAAAATGCAGAAGCTTTTTAGTACAAACCAGAAATTGAAAGAGGGGGATTTTTAGAACAAGATGTATCGACACTGGCAGAAAATAAACTTTGCATGATTAACTTAAGTAAGGCAAGGATATGAAAATTGAATCACGTGATCCCGATCAGATATATATCGTAACGTACTGAAGAGAAAAAAAAAAAATCAAATACATATCAAAGTTTTGTTTGGTTTCATGTAATTCTTCATTTTGTCAAAACATAATTAAGTTTACTTAACTTCATTACAACCCGATAGAAAAATTAAAAAAAATAACTGTCGACTTAACATTCGCAATATGAAGCATGGTAAACTTAAACCAGTTACTTCACTCTATTACGGCTACTGTGGTTATCACCTTGTTCTTGTCAGTTGCTTTTTGATCAATAGAACGTACCTAATCTTACTGTTATTTATTTCGGACTTATTATGCAAGATATTTGTAGTTACTTGGGACATTATAACTCTCGACGATGATAATGATGATGGTGGCGATAGAGTTCATCGAACGTAGTAAAAAAAACAAACAAACACAGTCGTAAACAGTTAAAGAAAATGGCTGGAAAAAACAACGAAAAAGAGCACTAGAAAAATATTGTTTGCAATTCATAAACACTTACTAAATAAGTACATGAATAAAGGGATTTTTTTTTAAAGTCACCTCTATTGAACAGAGACTAATAAATATAACCAACTTATTTTAAAATTAAATACTGGGTCTAAAGTACACATTTTTACGACTTTCGGAAGCAGGTTTCTTTTTTTTTTAAGTTCATGACGTCTTTTTTTAGAGTGACTTCAAAAATAAATATTAAGAATATTTTGTATAGTTAGATTTGGATTGAAAAAAAAAAAATCCTGCTTCAAAACACAAATAATATTTAATTTCTAAGAATTAAAATAATTGATTTGGAGGGGGGATAAGCTAACAATACTAAATATTTTAAGTAACACACATAATTGATTAAAAAAAAAAAAAAAATGAAAATTTAACTTTTAGCTCACTAAAATATCATTTCAGTTCTGCACAAGTCGACAATTGTTACTTTTTGTGTTTATTAGGAAAAAACGTTTTTAAATTTTAAAGATATAAAAAAAAAGTGGGTAAAAAAAACATGATCTATAAAAATAAAAAAAGCAGATACAAGTTGCGTTTAAAACTGCTACTTTCTTCGTTCATTCACTCAAATGAAAAACGTATTTGCTCTGCATTCATACTCTGAGTCTATTTTTAATAAAGTCAATATTTAATCTCAGATTTAACGACCGAAATCTTTTTCAGTTTTGATTCTTCTCTTAAATGGTTTAATAATCGGATTATTTCAGATCAGCGTAAAAATTGAACAACGAAAACATTCTTTTAGCTGATAAAAATTGGATTCAGATTTTTAAAGTCAATTTGTTGAATAGGCTTTTAAACTACGAGGCTCGTTTGTTTTACTTTTATTTAATATTAAAAAAATTTCTTTAAAGAAGGGATAAGCTTTTAAACTGAACCACCAGAACAGTCTCCACAAGTGGTTTCCCAAAGATTTTTTTAAAGGAGAAAGTGCCGCCAAGCAAGTCACCATTTATTTGAGAAATTTTTTTTTTCAAATATTGTCTATTTGTTTTAATTAGTTTGATTAAACTAAACATTTTCAGCCTAAAATAGATTTAATTATCTGAAATTCTTAGTAGTTATCTGAAAATATTTTGAAGTGAACACAAAGATAAGTGATGTTTTTTTGGAATTGCTTTTTAAGAGGTAAGTCTTTGCTTTGCCAATAAATGGTTTGCAAGTGAAATCAAGAATGGCTACCGATAGAGGTGAATGGTTAGCGCTTATGATAGGATCACATTGAAAAAGCAATCAGTCTTGTTTTTGAAGCCTTGTAAAATAAACAAGAAAGTTGTATTTTTAATTAATTTTTTTACGGAACACTTACGTATGTTTTGCATGCTTCAAGATTAAGTATCAAGTGAAAAAAAAAAAACAAAACAAAAATTAAAAATGTAATCACTAATCAACTACCATCGTTTCAATTATCGTACGTTTAAGCTACAATATGCATTAATGAGTAACCTTAGGATTTTTTTAAATAAAATATTTTACAAGTTTAAGAGAGATTAAATTGAAGATAAATAAATATTTTTTGTTTACGCCAATACCTCCAAATAAGAATGGCTGTGCTGTAAAAAAAAGAAAAAAGCTAGAATTGAATACCACCATTTTCAATTTTACTTATTAAATTAACATATCTCTGCATGTTTGTATATTTTTAAAATATTAAAACAAAAACAATAATACGCATATAAAAAAGGACTTCTGGTTTTTAGGACATTTGAGGGGGGGGGCTATTGGTCAGGGAAGCGTGTTTGCGGTGTCTACTTACCAGGAAGCACAATTTTGGCCAGTTGTGAATGAAATATCGGTATGTGTATATTGAGTAAGGTTCAGAAAGGTCCCTGGTGATTAATCGCATTATGTCGGCCATTTGGAGCTCACATTCGTAAACACGGTACTCCAATTGTCCCTCTCCATTATTATTATTATCATTTGCAACAGTGCCTATGTTGTCAGCACGTGCAGAAGAAGAAGGCACCCCGGCCGTATCATCACTATTGGCTTTTACATCAACATCATTATCTTCGGTACCACTACAGGGCCCCCCGATACCAGTATTATTAATATTTGTGGCCGTATCTGTAGTAGAATTGATAGATGTGTTGTCCTTAGTGGAGATATTAAGGGTGTCGATCTGTTGGGTTAGACTGTCCACTTGATCGCCATGGGACTGGTATGTCCGGGACTGGATCGACACAGACAAGGGTTTATCACTTTTACCATCTTCTTCATCCTTGTCATGGGCATCTCCACCACTGTTGCTGGTGGGAGATGAACTCTGGTTGTTCGTTACATTTTTTGTTGAGCTTGAAGCGTTTGTAGTTGGACAACGTTCATATTTATCAGCTTCGACTCCACTTGTAACAGCGCTAAGCAGACCGCTGGTGTCGGAGGACCCAGTCAGTACATGGTTTATTAGTCCGTTTTCGTCACTTCTGTGTTTTATTTTTCCATTTGGTAGCAGTGTGTTTTCCTTGATTCCGGCTCGTTCGATGATTTTGGCAGTGGCCAGAGCGACATGGTGGTCTACGCTGGCTGGTGACAAATTAGAGTGATCAGCGGTAGCTCCATGTGGTGACTCCAGCCGGGACCCATCTTCACCACAGCAGTCTAAGCCAACACCACTGTTTTCCATTTCATGGGGAGGTGCCGAAGACGACTAGTGGAAAGTAAGATATCCAGCCAGATTAGCCAACAGAGTCAGGAGGCTACAACGAAGAAGATAATCACAACGAAATAACCCAATCGCAACTAACAAAAGTATAGTTGTATAAGATATAGTAAGGCAACGAGTCTTGTGTCGATGTCATGTTGAGAAGCCACCATACTGCTTTTTCCAGATACTAATCGACATGCGTCACATCAACTCATGAGATTACTCCGCAGCTGCGAAAAAAATGAATTTCAAAATGTATTTACTATTCGTTATGATTATTATAGTTTAAAATAGTTGGTTATGACTTATAAGAGAGTTGGTGGAAGACGTTAAAAGATTAAATATTATTGTTTGTTAGATTACTATATTTTTGTGTGTAGCTATTTCCGGTGAGTAGTGCAGCAGCGAATGATCAGTTTAGCAGTAGCCGCCGTCATAGCCAAAGCTGTGGTAAGTACGAAGCTGGAGAGTTAAGGGTTATTTCTCCAAGTAGTATTTTGATGTCTTGCATGTCTAAGAATTACATTCATGGAATTATTATTTAGAGTGACATTTCAAGGTGTTATTATTTTATAATGACATTTACTTGTTTTGTTGAACTCCTTTTAAAACAAAATATGTATAATAAAATCGGAAGTCGTCATACCAAGTACGGATGATGAGTAAAGTCAAAAATGCACATATTCAACATTGGCAGTAATTTCATTTAACAGAAAAAATTGATATTAAATATAAATATCTATTTCTTATTTTAATTGCCATAAACCAATAAGCAATGGTTCCAAGTTGTTAACAATTTAAAACTAAGAAAGTATTATTTATAAACTTTGATGAACATCCATATTTCTGGAAATGTAACCATTACATCTTTTCTGTAGGCGTGGAGTGAGTTGATCTCATTTTTTTTGTTTTGTTTTGTTTTGCTACACTATATGTTTCTTTTTAACTTAAATTATAAGTATCTTTCTCTTCAGTTTGTAAAGTTACAATTCAAAATTAATATAGTGGTTCTGATTTTTTTTTTCATATTGCAAAAAAAAAAAAAAGTAATGTGTTTTTAGTTTTTTTCCCTTCCTAGGTAGAATTGAAATTGTTAACTAAAAAAAAGTTAAGTTACTAACTAAAACTTATTTTAATTTTTTAATAATTAAAATATTTAATTTAGGAAAATTTTCATTTAACTGCCGTGGCAAAATGAGAATTACAATAAATTCTAAATTAAGAAGCTGAATTGATATACTTCAAGTGTGCCGTGCATATGTGGATGGGATTACAACTGCAACAAATAAATGAGGACTTTAAATTTTCCTTGTATTGGAGTAACGACATCCTAGTCACAGAACAGCGAAAACTGTTTTACTTCATTTTAAAATGCATCAACCAGTTCGTTAATAAGTGGTTGATGCAAATCATAAAGTCAACTTAGATGTGGATGGAAAAGAGAATGAGCGAGCGAAAAAAAAGTGAAGTCCTTCAGTATTCTGATTCATAGTTCGCGGTTCTTTCATTCAGGTATTGAGAATTTTGTTGTGGGAAACTAACACAGCCGATATTACGCAAATGTATTCAAGGTCAAAATAAAAAATCGATCCCAATCTTGAACTTGGAATAGTTTTCAAAAGTAAAGTACAAATTCTGAACCATTTTATTTTCCCCCATCTCCAAGTACTACTAGGAAAAAAATATGTAGATACTTCTTCAGAATAGAAACGGTGATAGTAACAAAATGTACCTAATCATGTTTAGTTTGTGTACCAGAATGTTTTCATGGAACCACTGATAGTTTCAAAAACAAATAAAGTAAAAAAAAAAAAAAGCCGAAAGAATTTGATTGCATTTCATTTTTCTTCCGGGAAATATGATTTCCAAGGATTACTTTATTTATTTACAATTAAATTTTCAACAGTTACAAGATATTTTTACATTTGTCAAATATACAAAAAAGACGCTAACTTTTGTAGTAAATATTTAAAAAAAAAAGTTGTCAGTTCTATAAAGCACCAATCTTAGTTTTACAACTTTATATTGCAAAAACTATATATTGCTATCAAATTTACCTTTAATGTTTATACAAGATTTAAATATTTTACCGTACATGATTAATGCCAACTATTTAGTCACTATTTATAATAATAATATTTGTAAATTGAAATAAACCTCTATATTTACAGTTAAGTCTTAACTGTAAATATAAGAATTATGACATTAGCCTACACAGTTATCTAACTAGAATTAAAAAAAAGTTACAATTTAATTTATAACTAATGAAAATATATTTAGTAATTTAGAAGTTATACGTTAGGGAAATTTCAGTATATTCATATTTTTCCAATATGAAGCTAAGTATACTGAAAAAAAAACTCAATCTTTCTCTCTTGTATATATATATATATATATATATATATGAATTCAGCTAGATATAAAAAAAAAATTGTAAAATCTCCAGCCCCTATCACTTATGTTCATATGTAGTTGTACCAACATAACAATTTTAGACCAGTCAAGTCCTAAAGGACAAAACGCGTCACAAGTAAACTTTTTCCACTTTGTCATGCATTTTCCCCAATATACAGGCTGCGATGGATAAATTGTCGTCTAAATTACACAAAAATGAAAATAACCCTGACATTTCATTATATATATTTGCCAAAATTACATAAAAATATCTTGAAATGCTAAAGAGTAAATTTATTCAATAAAATTGCCATTGACTTCAACCAGACAACTTCAGAATCACCTGCAACTCTTCTAGCTGTTCTCCTTGTTTAAGTTGGTGAATGTTGCCATAATCCTTGCCTTCAGTTCATCTTTAGTGTTACAAGGCGTTTTGTTGGTCTCTTGCTCCACTGCACCTCACAAATAATATTCTGGGGAGTTAAGTCGCCATATGTATATGCAGAAATGATCCGATATCTATGACTGGGTTCTTCTGCTTGAGCCTTAACTAATAGTTGGTTTATCATCAATCCTCAATGATGCTTGCTATGTTTGTTTGACATTTTGGTAGGTCCCTCCACAAGCCCTAGTCAGATATTCCCTCAGAGTGTAGCAAGCTTTTACAGGTTTACAAGAAAACCATTGACAGACTCACCAGGGCATAGATGATGATTTACTGTAAACTGCTCATAGACCATAAAAGAAACTGTTACAATAGCAAACTGTAGTGTCTGTTTTATTTTTACTCCTTGTTGACATAGCAAAGGCCCCACTATTTAGACTCAGTGTAAAGATGTGTTCAGTCTGTTTTATCCCACACAATCAGCAGATAAACTCTACTTTTTCAAGCCATTCAATCAAGAATGGAGCTGTTGCTGTGTAATCGAATTCAGGAAGCGGTTTGATATTGAATGATTTGTCACATTCGGTTTTATGATAAATATTGGTAATATATGATAATGATGAATTCTCTTCATATAGCAGTTTGATTATTTTAGTAGCTGGAAAATCACAAATAATTACTTATTTCTGATATATAAACAAGTATCCCCAAATCATTTCTTGAATTTGATATTTACAATGTTTTTTATAAGGGGAAATGATTCCTATGTATATTAAATATCAAACAATTTATGCAAGATGGACAGTCATTTGTATTACAGCTTGGATTGCATATAATACTTATACACATTGCAGATCTGTAGATATATTTATCATATTTATGGGTAAATTATTTATAAAAATGTTGTACACCTCACAGTAGTACAGTATTGTGATATTTGGATATCAGTTGTTATACGGTATGATTTTAAAGAGTATAGCCATTTATTAAACTTACATTTTTGATTGCCTTTACTCAAAAAGTGAACTTTTCAAATTACTATGAAATTAAATCTTAAATATTTTTAGTTAACTATAGAAATCAATTTTCTTTGAATATAATATCTATTTTTATGAAAATTATTCAATTTTTAAAATGGGCATAATTTTCTTGTGGTCCATACTGTATATTTGCATGAGAGAAATTTCAGCTCTATATCATCTACTCCGAGATACAATATTAATTTTATATAAACTTTATCCTAGCACCTGATGCCTTTTATTATACATTGATGCAAAAGTGTGAGGGCATTTATGTCATAGTCTGTTCTCTATTTAAAATCTGCTTTCTTCATTTCTCTGCTAGCAGCTGTGGCAATAACTTGTAAGTTATTTCAAAAGTGTAATTTATTTTGATAGAATACAGAGGTGTCTCTTTGCAGGTTGATGTTTTGTCCAGCTATTTGTCTCATTCGGTGTTTGCTTGACCAAGATGTAAGTAGATACACCAGTTGATAGACTAAAAGGCTTGCAAGTGTACCAGAATACAACAGCTTGTTGGCCAGCTGTTGCTGACACTTGTATCGTTTTGACTTTCCTGCATTTAGCCATGTAGGACACAAAACCAAGTTTTTATCTTGTGAGGATTGACTGGCTTCTAGAAAGCAATATGAAGTGTACTTTTTAAACTTGTTGTTTGTATTTTCAGCGTATGTGTGCCTAAATAAATTCTCTTGGGCACAGAATCTTGTCAAACCTTGGCAATGTGTGCAGCACCCAATCAAGCCGAAAGACAGAAATGTTGGTCAGCTCGTGATGAATTCTGGAAATGTCTTGATGGAAATGAAAAAGAGCCCTTAAAATGTTCAGAGGAACGAACAAAGTTTGAAGGCAGTTGCTCAAGAACTTGGGTGAGTGCATTCACTTTTTTACCTGAATCCAGTAAAGGAATGCTTTTACGATGATCAGTCAGAAAGAATATAGGTTGGAGAAATAGGCCAGAGAAGAGCAAGATACTTAACAGCAAACTCCTGTTTGTAACCATGATTGTGCTAACCGGTGTTTTAAATTTTTATTTTTTGTCTTCAAACGATGCATGCCTGCATGCATACATTCATTTGGAGGAAGGTTAAGAAAAAGAGAAATTGAAATATTAAATGATACCAAAGAATTTAATTTATTTTGTGTTTTTGGCACAAAAATTCATGAAACTAACTTTTTTA